GATATGAGTGCATATAAAATTAGGGTGTGTAGAGTGAAAAAAAATCCTAAACCCTAAGGAATACCAGTTTTAAAGAGGAGAAAGTTGTCCATACAGGAAACTGAGATGTGAACGCTAGTAGAAGAAAAGAGAAAAGCAGAATACATTATGTTCACCAAGCAGAGGGAATGTGTACACAGGTGAGAAAGTGCATGTCAGATAGGAATCTCAAATGCAGTGAAATGCAGAGGAGCCCTTTAAATGGTACCGCTAGCCCAGGAGAAAATAAATGCCAAACCATGTACACAATCATTCCCCTGGCAAAATTTAATATTCAATGAATTGCATTCTTACCCAATTTTAATATTTATTCAATGTAATTCTGTTTAGCACTCTATCATGTTAGTCCCTTTTTACCTTTTTACATTTATGCCTATCTTACTGTTGATTTTTGAATCTTTTCTACCCCGCTTGCGTAGCCTCTCATGCTTGATGCATGAGCAAGGCTGCCTTCTTAGCTTGTGACTTTTGGCTTCATGCCTACCTCTCACCCCTCTGTAGATTAATTCAGTAACGCCTTCCTGTTCGAATTGGCCCTGAAACCCTCCCATTACCCATGTAATATATTGCTCTGTAAGGCAACTTCTACAAGTGTTTGAATCGTGTGTGTGTGTGTATGTATATGAAATTAATATATAAGTAATTGAGAATATTTGACATTGTTTAAATTAGGAATATATAAGTAATTAAGAAAGAGCAACAAAACATTTCATATATAATTTGGATGCCATCAAGACGATCTATAGGTTAATAGGATATGTTAATCTGCTTGTGAAGAACACTTATGGGAGAAAAGTAAAGTGAAATATATAGAATTGTTTTAACACTATGGTAAGTGCTGTAATAAGGGGAATGGACTATGGAAACTCAAGAAAACTCAGAAAGAGTTAATTTTTGACCTGAATATGAAACTTTTGAAGGAATTTGGCTTGAGGGAAAGGGAGGAGGACTTTCTTGATTAGGAATGATTACACAAAGAAGAAAAATGTCATGAAGATAATTTAGGAATCTGTCAAGGACTTTGGACTCTGATCCCAGATTGCTTTTCCCAGTTGATGCTCCCCTTTTCCCCCTTCTTCATTAGCTAATTATCCTGGTCACTCTTAAGCTCACCTTCTTTGCTTTATTCTTTTTTCCACCCTAGTACTTCAACGCTCAACAATTATTTTTCTGTACTGCTTAGATCTCCTAAAATTTTCCTCTTACTATTTTTGGGGCAGATACCAAAACATTATTTAAATATCACCAATAATTATTTATTCTATACATTTTATCTCAGTAGCCAAATGCTTTGTCACATGAAACATCTTCATTTTTATTTTTCCCTGCCAGGATGGAAGAGTAGTCATAAAACCACAAAGTCAACTCAAACACAAGATTCTTCATTTCAGCAGCTGATAATGACACGTTCCAAAAGGAATGGACCCTGGGACTTCAAATTAGAAAAACCCTGCATATATGAAGACGAATTAGAGAAAAAACAGGAGAAAAAGGAAAGTGTTCAGATACTTTCAGTCACCCACAAAAAAATCTTTACTGTAGAAAGAAGATATAAAAATACTGAATTTGGCCAAAACTTCAGCCCAAAGTCAGTTCTTGTTAGGCAACAGGTGGTTCCCAGAGAAAAAACACCACCAAAATGCGAAATGCAAGGAAACAGTTTTAAACAGAATTTAAATTTACTTAATCAACCAAAAATTAACACAGCAGAGAAACGCTATAAATGTAGTATGTGTGAGAAAACTTTCATTAACACTTCATCCCTTCGTAAACATGAGAAAAACCATAGTGGAGAGAAATTATTTAAATGTAAAGAATGTTCAAAAGCCTTTAACCAAAGTTCAGCTCTTATTCAACATCAAATAACCCATACTGGAGAGAAACCCTATGTATGTAAAGAATGTGGGAAAGCCTTTACTCTTAGTACATCCCTTTATAAACATCTAAGAACCCATACTGTGGAGAAATCCTATAGATGTAAAGAATGTGGTAAATCTTTCAGTCGAAGGTCAGGCCTTTTTATACATCAAAAAATCCATGCGAAAGAAAACCCCTATAAATATAATCCAGGTAGGAAGGCATCTAGTTGCAGCTCATCCCTTCCTGGTTGTCAGAGAACTCATCTCAGAAAGAAGTCTTATTTATGTAATGAATGTGGCAACACTTTTAAATCTAGCTCATCCCTTCGTTATCATCAGAGAATTCACACAGGAGAGAAACCTTTTAAATGTGGGGAATGTGGGAGAGCCTTCAGTCAGAGCGCCTCTCTTATTCAACATGAAAGAATTCACACTGGAGAAAAGCCCTATAGATGTAATGAATGTGGAAAAGGCTTCACATCTGTTTCACGACTTAATAGACACCGAATAATTCATACTGGAGAGAAATTGTATAATTGTAATGAATGTGGTAAAGCCTTAAGTTCCCACTCGACACTTATTATTCACGAGAGAATTCACACTGGAGAGAAACCATGTAAGTGTAAGGTGTGTGGGAAAGCCTTCCGACAGAGTTCAGCTCTCATCCAGCACCAGAGGATGCACACCGGAGAGAGACCCTATAAATGCAGTGAATGTGAGAAAACCTTCAGGTGTAACTCATCCCTTAGTAATCACCAGAGGATTCATACAGGAGAGAAACCTTATCGATGTGAGGAGTGTGGAATATCTTTTGGCCAAAGTTCAGCTCTTATTCAACATCGGAGGATTCATACAGGAGAGAAACCCTTTAAATGTAATACATGTGGGAAAACATTTAGACAAAGCTCATCACGTATTGCCCATCAGAGAATTCATACTGGAGAGAAACCTTATGAGTGTAATACATGTGGGAAACTTTTCAATCACAGGTCATCTCTTACTAATCATTACAAAGTTCATATAGAAGAGAACCCCTAGAAAGTAGATTTGCATGTGTGAAAGCCTTAAACCAAAGCTCGTCGGAATACATGAGAGTGATGTAATAAATGTAATGGATTTGAAAACTTTTCTATAATTTACTCATCAGACATTAAATTCCAAGGATAAATCTTGGCTATGTAATAATAAGGGAAGGGGAAAGTGTTCACATCTGTCATACACTTTAAAATAGCCTGAGATGAAGAATTCACAATTGAAGACATTGACTTGGGGCATTTGTAAAATAAAATAATTACTTTCTCTCTCTAGTGGTGTACACCAGATATCATGTGATTGTCATAAACATCTGGGCCAGCAGAGTGTGCACTGGGTTTCTCAAAACAAACAAACAAACAAAACCAACCTATAAGCTGGTAATACTGTTTTTAAGTAACATTTTAATAGCATATAAAAGATGTGATCAAAGAAATTATACATTTTTAAAGGAAAGGACCAAATAAAAGATAAAAATGAACTGTAAACTACCTCTTGGTTTCTGGGATTTGTCCTTTTCCTGGCCTGATGGCAAACTTTGTGCATGAATTTTATTTAAAACTAGAAATAAAAGTCTGTTCTCTTCTTCCTTTGTTCTTCAAATAATTGCTGTGAGTTGAGAGTTTTCTACTCAATTCCTCATTATGTTCTCAGGAAAAAATTTTTTTTATTTTTTTTTTTGTTGTTGTTCTGAAGTTGTTAAAAAGTATGCCTGCTATGTACTGTGAGCTTTCATCTTAGGTATATTAAATGGAAAAATAAAGAATTATTTCAAGTTTAAAGCCATTAAATATACACTTAAATTCACCACGGAAGCAGCTGTCAAAAGAAGTTTGATGAATCTTGACACCTGTGCCAAAATATTGCAAAGTACATCAATCATTTTATGACATAAAAAGTATGTTTTTCTTATTTGGTATTCTCTGGTGTCAAACAATTTCAGGAAAACAAAAGGAGTATTATAAACAACTTTTTTTTTCCAATCCCAGCTTTGGGGCAGGTACTATTCTGCACACTAGGAGTTATAAGAAGAAAAACACAGGCCTTCAAGAAGCCATGAATTGAGGAACTAGCAGACGAGTAAGCAAATTATTATGTCACAATATGTAAATATGGTTGTTTTAACAGGCAAATAGGTAATTTATGACAGTATGTTGCAAGAACATAGCGATTTGCACACTATGAAGAAAGGAGATTGAACCTAACCAAGGAAACCTGGAGACATCGAAGAATGCTGTCCAGGGTCAGTGATACCTGATCGAGATTTTGAAAGAATAATAGGAACTCTCCAGAAGGTGAGATAAACATTCCAAATAAGAGGAAAGTGCATATGTAAAAGTATAGGTGGTTAATATGACAACTTTGTGGAAACAGGTATAGAAAGTGCAAGAGAACAACAGTTGTTAACAGTTGAGCAGAAGGCTGGGCCAGATAACAAAAGGTCTACTTGCTATACTAAAAAGTTTGGATTTTTTTCTGAAACTAGTGGAATCAAAGGTTATAGACAAAGGAAATTGTTCTGGCAATCATGTGCAGAGGATGAATTTAGGGGGTTGAGGAAAGCTGTACAGACCAATGCCTAGAAATCTGGGCTATAGTAATTCAAGTGATTGATGAATGAGAGTCCAAAGTCAAGCAGGGACAGTGTGAATGGAGAATAGGAGACATAATGTATTAGAATAAATAAGACATGGAGCTCACAAGCAAATAGTGGAAGTTGGTGAGTGAGAAGGCTACACTGACTGAATAGGGTTGCCAGGCAACCTGTATATACAGGACATGTCCTATATTCAATGATTTTATCCTGCATCCTGTTTTGACTTTGTCAGGCTGCCCTTAATATCAGTTGTATTTTTTTTCCCAATAACAAAAATTCAGCAGTTAGAGCTATTTTTCTGCTTCAGTAATTGGCATTTTAAATACTTAAATGGCAACACTACATGAAAATCCTACCTTCACAAATAAAGATCTGAACAATCATTTATAGTGTCCTGTGTTTTTGGCTGAGGGAAGACCAAAAAGGGGGACTGCAAATTGACAGTCTTATCTTCCATAGTTAAGAGAGGAAAAGACAAATTCTGCCAAATTCTGAGGTTGTAAACAAATAGGTATCATTAGAGGTAATCAGTAAACATGCTCTGAAAATCGGCAACAGCAGCTATGCTTCTGAAAGTTAGCAAGTTAATGACAGACTCCAGCTTCTAAAAGTCAGCCAGTTAGTGACCATCCCATGTCTCTAGACAACAGTCAATCACAATAAACAAACAAACAGTCAGTCAGTCTCCAAAAAGTCGCAGTTTGCCCAAGTGCAAGCTTGATAATTAAGGCATTTGATAACAGAACAAGAAATGCGCCTAGATCCAGATAGGCTTTGTGGTATTCTAAGTGTCCCCAAACTCAAAACTAAGTGTCAATTGTGAGATTTTCTCAAGTAGTTGATTATTACCGAAATTGGATCCCAAGTCTCTTATGGCAAAACCTCTGTGTGGTTTACTAAACAACAACCCTGACTCAATTTTATGGGAGGGACAGGACAACAAACCTCTGTGTGGTTTACTAAACAACAACCCTGACCCAATTTTATGGGAGGAACAGGACAACATAGCCTTTAAAGTCTTAAAGGAGAGTTTAATGAACTGACCTGTCCTGGGGTATCCCAGTTATCAAGTTCTCTTTTTCCTTTTCATATATGAAAAGAAAAGAAACATCCTTGGGGTACTCACACTAAAACATGGGCCCCACCATTGACCCCCAGGATATTATAGCCAGCAGCCAGACCCTGTGGCATGGTGATACTCCCCTTGCCTTAGAGAAATTATTGCCACTGCTGTTTTGGTTGA